TCTTCCGTGCTGACTCCGCGGGCTGTCTTTGGTCTCAGGCCGCTCAGCTGTAATGCAGGTGCATGGTTAGTGATCTCAGGACACTCTGGGGACTAACCGCAGTTGGCTGGGGAGGGGAGCTCATCATAGCCTGTCCACCTCTTGTTCCTCTCCATTTCTGAGCACTCTGTGGTGTCCTCCAGGACTCTGCCCAGTCTAGTTAAAGGGACTCTTGAGACCTGACTCTCGTACTGCCCAGAATAACCAACCATGTTTCCAGAAGGAATTGGAGCAGATGATCAGTCAGTATCTTTATTAAAACTGTCTCATTATGTCTAATTCACTCAGCAAGCATCCAAACGGCCTCTGTGCCGGGCCCTTATTTGAGATACGCGGATGGATGAGATCGTCCCTCCCCTCAGAGACCTCCCTCTCAGCTCCACAGAACCAGCACCCTACCCAGCCCGCATTATTTCCATTGCTGATGGGAGGAAATGGTACTGGGGGGGGATCCCGGCCACCCCTTGTTCTTTGTAAGCCAACAAACTTGAAGTTCAGCCCACTCCCAGCCCACGTCCGTCCGTAAACACCACTCCCGCCGCCACCTTCAACTGCTCTCTAAGCTGTTTTTGTTTTCCCTTTGCTAATAAGGCAGTAACTGATTAGCCTTCTCTCAGAGTAAACTAGGATTTGGGTTCTTAGTGAATAGATCGGTATGGTTTAGTGGTCTAAAAACAGGTGGAAGTCAGGACTCCTGGGATCCCGGATAACCCGGAGGTCCTGTGTCTAAATACACATAGGTTCTAGGATAAGGGAAGTGGCCTGGAGAGGAAGGAGACGCCTGGAGCACACGCATGTAAAGGGGTTGGATGTACAGGGTACTGCCTCATAAAGACATGGCCTACTGCTGGGACCAGCAGGTGGCATAGTGGTTACATCGCTGGACTCCCATGTAGTCGACCATGGTTGGAGTCCTTGACTCGGTGGCTTAAACTCACACAGGGTACGTGTGCATGCAGTCCCAGGATCCCGAGAGGAGAATGGAGGAGAAGGAACTGCGGCATGGCCATCCCCCCTGGGGGGTGATTTCTGTCTTTCTGTTTCTGTCTCTGTCTTTCTGGTGAGCATATGTGCCCTACAGCAAAAAACTCTCAAAAAAAAAAAAAAAAAGAAAGAAAGAAAAGAAATACGGCCTACTGTCACCAGATCTTTAGTTTTAAGAGGCATAAATCCGTATTTTTGGGAGACCTTTTGATGTTTAGAGTATTTGCTCAAATAAAAATACAGAAATAAAACCATGTGAGTCAGGGATATCAGATGTAAGCCCGCTTCTGTGGGATGGAAGGGCTTCCTTGCCGCCTTTGGGTCTGGTCCTAGACCAGACACCCCGTCTCGGCTTCCTCAACCCTCTGTGTACACAGGCACGGTTACACGTGGTGAAGGAGCACCAGGGCCTCATCAAAAGCAAGAATGTGGGCAAGAAATGACGGACCCTACCCTCTCCAGAGGTGCTTTTCACCAGGGCAGAGCCTGCTTCTAGCAACCAGACCTCACCCCCAGCAAGAAAGTGGAGCAGGAGCAGAACTCAGTCTGTCCGCTGGTCCACCTCTGTGACTGTAGTCTGTCCGCTGGTTCACCTCTTTGTGACTGTAGTTGGAAAAAAGAAGAAAAGCTGTTCCGAGTTCTCCACGGTGCAGTCAGCTGGTGGCGCAGCAAGCACAGTGCTCTGGGACCCCAGGCCCGCACAGGAAGGTCCTATACAAGCCAGCTGTGCGTGGCTGCGATATGCACTGGCTCAAGCTGGGGTGGGACACAGCATACAGACCCTGCTAAGGCTGCCTCCCCGCTCCCTGCCTCTGAGAAGTTACATTAATAGACTAAAAAAAAAAAAACCTACATAGAGTATCCCCCTCTGACACGTACGGTGGGAGTCATTTGGTAAAATGTTTATTTAGTTGCTCTGAGTTTCAGTTCGTCATCTGAAAATGGGAGTAATAATATTTACGTCCTCCAGTTTGCTCATTAATGTTTATTAAATACCAGCCACAGGGGTACGACAGTGACTGACATGGTTCCTATGTTCTCAAGAGTTTATGTGTAAAAACAAACAAATAGGGGCCAGCAGGAGGCATAGTAGTTAAGGCACGTGGTTCTAGTCCCAGGCCCGGAGGCTTGTGCATGCATGTCCCAAATTCCAGGAGGAGAAGGGAAAAGGGAGTGTGGCATGGCCATTCCCGGGGGTTGGGGGGTTGTCATTTTTTTCTCTCTCTGTATCTCCAGTGAGCGCACATGCCCTATAGCAAAAACTTTTCAAAAAATACACTACAAGGGGCCACCAGATGGCGTAATGGCTATGTCGCTGGACTCCCATGTTCAGTTCAAGCACTGCACCTGGTGGCTTAAACTCACGCCAGGCACATGTTTGTGCGTGCCCAAGATTCCAGGAGGAGAATGGAGGAGAAGGGATTGTGGAGTGACCAACTCCCCCGGGGGGGTGGGGGGGTGATTTCTTGCTTTCTGTCTCTCCGTCTCTGTCTTTCTGGCGAGTGCATGCCCCCTATAGCAAAACTTCTCCCAAAAAAACGGCAAAAACAAATCCAGGTAACAATATTATATCAATAGTTTACGCATGATATTTGTGCTAAATGCTGAAATACACGGGAGGTAGACAGATTAGAAGTAAGGTATGTAGGGACCAGCAGATGGCATAACGGTTATGTCGTTGAACTCCCAAGAAGTCAACCATGGTTTGAGTCCCAGACCCAGCGGCTTAAAACTCACACCAGGCGCATGTGCATGAGTGCCCAAAATCCCAAGAGGAGAATAGAGAAGGGACTGCAGCGTGGCCATGGCCCCTGGGGAGTGATTTCTCACCTTCTGTCTCTCAGTCTGTGTCTCTGGCAAGTGCACATGCCCTTTTAGCAAAAATCTCTCTCTAAAAAGAAGTAGGGTATGTAAAGTGCCCAGAGTGAATACATGAACTGGCAGGTTGGTGGGGCGGACAACAACAGGGTCGGACCCTAGGTATGAGAGGAGCGAGTGGAGCTTGTAGATGTTGGGAAAGCTGCGTCCTTGATAAAATCACAATGGACAGCCATCACCAAGAGTCCTGGCACCTTTCCATGGCAGAGACCCTGAAGGACTGTACGGTCTGAATGGGAAGGAGAGAAGACAGCGGCCCCCTGGCTCTCTCCCCCAATCTCTCCACTGGGATAGCCACTCCCAGGAGGGCGAGCGTGCAGAGGGGAGGAGCAGGAGGAGGGTCTGACCTGGGCTAGCTCCCTGGGAACCAGTGTCAATCGGGGGAAGCAAGTGGGTGTGAGAATAAAGGTGGGGCTTCTGACATACCGTTGGTCGAAATGCCATTATTTTAAACTTCTGATTGTAATTGGAGACACAAAGGACACCGGCACGGAAAGTAGGTCACAACCAGCAGCGGATCTGGACTGACTCATCCTCCCATCACCTGGTTACTTCTACCCCGCGTCTGCAAGGTCTCGGGCTGGGCATGGAGGATCCGCGACAGACAGAGCCTGTGCCCCTGCAGACCTCGGGTCCAGTGAGGGGAACACACGACAACAGAACATTTCATCACGGAGCGGGGAGCGCCACCCAACCGGGAGCACAGCACAGAGGGACTGGGCACAGGGCGGGCACCTGACACACCCGGGAGGTCAGGGAAGGCTTTCTGGGAATGGCACCCCAAACCGCAACCCCACTCACATGCACAATTCCAGAGATTCTACTCGAAGGCTGTCAAGAGCCATGCCTTCTGGCTGCACCAGCCTCCCAGAGTCCCCTGCTGCCCGATGCAGTGTCTGCAGAGCCAAACGCATCTTCCGCCACGCCTCACCCTCATCCGGCGCTGCATCCGACCCTCCAAGCCTCCTGCGGGAGCCGGCCTCCCTCAGCAGGCTTGGCCAAAAGATTAACTCAAAGCTCTTGTGTCAGAGCAAGCTTAGGGACAGCCACCCGGCACCCAGTGTCACAACCCTCCCGAAGCAACTGTGGCCCATGCCACCCGCCTCTCAGTCAACACTAGCAGGGTACCTCCCATTATCTCCTCTGCTCAAAAGAAAGTGACCTTCTTCCCGGTAGCAGGCTTTGGAGCCCCCCCCTACCACTGTGCTGTACAGCAGGATCGCCAAGCGGGGCCTGCGCCAGGTGGGCTGCCCTGTGGGACCCGGGGCAGGCCAGGGCACTTCGCTGCTCCGCTGGGCAGCAGGAGGGACGCCCTGGTTTGGAGCCCCCCCCTACCACTGTGCTGTACAGCAGGATCGCCAAGCGGGGCCTGCGCCAGGTGGGCTGCCCTGTGGGACCCGGGGCAGGCCAGGGCACTTCGCTGCTCCGCTGGGCAGCAGGAGGGACGCCCTGGGGACAGTGGCTGGGCGCAGCTGCTAAGGCGCCGTGGCGGCAGGGCCCTGGGGAGAGGCTGAGGCGCAGCCCGGCAGGCCCCGGTCCTAAGGCGGCCCGCGGCGGGTGGGG